TCGAGCTACTGTTCTTCCTAAAGAACCTACCTCGCAAAGATCAATTAAAAATCGAGAAAGTCGAAGAAAGATAATTCAACAATCATGGGAAAATCGCCCAAAAGCTATCATGCCGCCTCTTACTACTGAGAAATTGAAATTGTTGAAAATCGCTGGTAAGACTCTACCTAATAAGGAAACGACATTTTGTCTCGCAACTTATTATATCCGAATTAGAGAAGGTACCAAGTTACATCCGAGACCCTGTTGGATTTGTATTATCGACGGTAACTACCAAGTTATCTATGAGACATTCGTTCGATATTCATCAATCGAATTGGTTGAAACAGAGTTTAATGGACTAACCCGTGATGATTTAAAATACGGTCGAAATCTTCGAACTGTTCGTAATCAAGTGATAAAATATTTAGTCTGTGCTTCTCGAATTGTTGGCTATGGCCTTGTGAATCAATTTAAAAATCTTGGCCTCGCTAATAAGGAAATTGACCAATTACTGCCCCTTTGTCGAGAAATTAATCAATTTTACTCGCCTTATTATAATTGTGCGTTTAATTTACAAGTAATTGCTTTTCTTTGGTTCCCTGGATATGTGTTTACATCTGAGCCACATTCACCTGTTGTTGAAGCAATTACAACCCTGAGATTATATATCTTCATGTGGAAAGATATTGAGGAAATGGCTGGAATCATGGGTGGAATTCACCACAAGAACTCAATTGTTACTTGTGCTAATCAACTGACAAGTGCTCTACTCCACCATTATCATCACCAAGTCATCAAAGGAAGATTTTCTTGGCCATCAGAATGGAAGGATAACCTTCGAATTAAGTTTATCCCCAAATGGAATCATGAAACTTGTATTGACCCTGATAAGAATCTATTGAAAGAGTTGCAATCAACTTGTGAAAAAGAAATCTATGATTCGAAAGAGATTCGATTGAAAAGTTCAAGCCATTTGGATGCAGATGCTAATCTGTCTGAATTTGAGACCGATGAATAAACAAATTCAATCGAATTCAAAGAGAGTGTCATGGTCATGGGCCGGGGGTCTGAAGGGTAGAAATTTACTCTCTTTGGAATTGATTCAAATTGTTTAATCATCTTAACCTAAATACCTAAAAAGATGGTAATTTAGTGATGATCCCTAATAGATTAAGAGAATAATTTCCCTCTTTCTCTTTCCTTGTTTCCTTTGTTCTCTTTGGTCATTTGACTAATGAAGAACCAATTTTCTATTTTTTGTGTTTTTTGTTAAATTCCGAGTTAATTAGTTCCCTTGTGAATTGATTAAGAATTTTGTTTTCTTCTAGAATTGTCTACAATTGAAATTCCAATGTAATTTCCTTTTCCGTGAAATCAAGTATAAAAGGAGATGGAAAAATTCAAAGAGTTAGAGTTGACATTCTACAATTATAGTGATTCTTTGTATTTTGTAACTTTCGTGATTAACCTTATTCTTATTCTTTCAAAGATTACCCGATTTTGTATTCCTTTTCTATTGTGCTTCCTAATTCAGTTAAATTCTAATTTAGTGAACACCATCAATTAATCTACAATAAACATTTGATCCTTGATTCGAATTGAATATCAGGTATTTGTGTAAGGCCTGATTGCAATCTTTTGCGTTTAATTGATAAAAGTCCTAATTTTGGTGAATCAAGAGAGATATAAGCTTACAATCTACTTGGATGAATTTTCCTGAATAGTTTTAATTTCTGATTCATTGAATTAAATGTAAGTTGATATAATGATAACTTTTAATCAACCATTTTAAAACTTTATCATGTTCAATTTATATCCTTTATAAATTGATATGTATTATTAATAACTGTTTTAAATGAAGCTTAATCTTTTAATACTATGTAGGAGTTATCATGATCCTTGATCTGAATGAAATCCTAAGTACATTTAGTACATTATTCAGTTTGTTAAGGAAATGACTGAATGTATATTTAATGTTGATACGTTTCTACTTGATTCTTAATCGTAATTAACTTGATCTGTAACTTTGTTTATATTTAGTAGTTTTAGTTAATCAACTTTTCCCCCCTTTTAATTGTGGTTGACATTTTAATATTATGTTTATCAATTCATGTCCACCTTGAAGTAATAACCACAATCAATTGATTTTCTCATCCAGACAATTAACTTTTCAATTTCAGGGTTGACATACTAAATTACTTGATTAATTATTCTTAATCCGTGATGATTATTAAATTTACTTTGCTTAAGTTTGTTGTTGTTGTTGTTGTAATAATTTAGTTAATTGCTCAAAATCAATCTTACATTATAATGATTAACGTTTATTTTATTTTTGTGGTTTCAATTATTGCTCTAATTGTTGCTATAATTTTACAATTAGATAAATTATTTATCATTAAATTATGAATTATATTTATTTATATATAAATATAGCACTTCCTCTGATTAGATAGATAATTACTGTTAATGTTAATGTTAATTGTTAGGCCTGATTGTCAAGGTACAACTGATTTAATAACAGTAAGACTTTGACAGGAAGATAAATATTATTGTTGATTTAATTGTTGGATAATTATTTGATTGTTTAGAGTTCACTCATCCTTTAATCATCATTAATTTCATCAATTCAACCTGATTTAGATTTTTGTGATTTACCTGTGATTTAGTTAATTGTCACGAAATTAAACCTACTAACTTGTTAACTTTTTGTTAGTGCGTTGATTTTTCAAATTATTTTGGATTATAAATTAAATCACCATTTTCTTTAACAGTTTCTTGGTAACTAATTATTAATATTTTACAAATCATATTGCATTTGATTGTTAGAATCATAACAATTAATAGTTTGTTATATTATGTATTAAATACACAATAATTAACCTTGACAGAGTAAAATTTTCATACAAACTAATTACAATTTATCACTTAGCATTACAATTACTTGACGATTCATCAAATCTGATAATGTTAATCAATCCAATTAAACTACTAATTTTTTTATCATCAATTGATTAACTGTTAGTATCCAATATAAAATTGTTAAATATTAACTTAACAATTAAATGATACATTATAATACAAGTACAATACTTAGTAACAATTAATGATTCAAGTTAATTGTTAACATAATAATGTATCATGATATTAATGACAACATAATAGAGTTGCAGTTTTTTTTCAAGTTATTATTATGCAATTAACTGTTTGAAATTTGATTGTTATGTCAAAAAATTACTAGAAAATGGAAAATGTTACAATTAACAGTTAGTTAATTAGCTTGATTAACGACAAATCAACACCTACACATAATCAAGTGTCCAAAAAATTCATTTACAGTTACAATTTTGTCACTTTGAACATCCTCATCTTTCAGTATCCGTTCAATTAAAAGTCATTTAAATTTTGAGTCTTCATTTTAATCATCACTTTTATCGCCATTGTCTTCCAATTGAATTACCTTTCCCAACAATTAAATGTATTGTTTACCTTGATTGCTGGCGGTGAGTTCCTGTCTTACCCTCACCATGCGATTCATGTCAACCTGAACATCATGAATAAGAAACATGTCAACTTTTTTTTCATCAGTCTGAGTCTTTTTCTGTTCAATGCAACTGTTTATATATCATTTTCAGCTTCAGAACCGGAGGCAATCAAGGGTAACCATCAGCATCCTCATCTTCAGAATCATCATGTATCATGTATGAAAAAAAAGTTATTATTTTTTTCCTCTTCTTTGAGATCCTGATTCTCTGAGGATGATGATGAATTCATTTTCTTGTTGTAAAATCTATTCTCACGCCTTGAGATTTTCTTTTTCTGGACACAGGGTAAATCTTTTTCTCAGAACTTCAATGAAATCTAATGAAATATTTTTCTTCCATTTCCATCAACATAACCGAGAGCAAAGTAAAAAAAAAATTCAACTTACCTGTTGATAGAAATTGTATCCAAGTAAGAAAAAAAAATGTGTCATGGTTATGAGTCGATATCATGAAGTTTTCTGATTTCTTCCTTGAAACTTTCATCTCTCTTGAAACTGTTGAACTTTTCCTCTTACTGAACTCATATTAAGTCTGGGAGATTATTTTTTATCCTTTTTTCAATTTTGATCCTTTTCGTTGTTCATTAATCAATTGAATCATTTATAATCAACTACTCTTAACATCACCCACTTCCTCTTGATCCTAGTTCTCATGAAATTACCTGAACCATTTAATAGACAACATCATCAACCGTTGGGAAATATTGAAATGTTTCAAAAAGCAGAATCATCTCTACCATGAAAATGAATCTAATTACAATTTCTTAATTGTTTCAACTTACCAAACTGACCAAAGGTCATTTTTACACAGTTGAATTGGTTTTTTTTCCTAGTAAAAGAAAAGATCTTCACAGATCATAACAACGGATAGACTTTTGATTAGTTAACTGGTTTACATGTTGTTGATTGTTGAATTGAATTAACCGTTGATTGTTGTTGATTCCATAACCATAATCAATCGTTCATTTAATTTTCCTATTATCAGTCTCGTTTATCATATAGTTAATCAAGTTGCACTTCCTTGCTTATAAATATTCAACTTTACTGTTAAAGTGAAAATGAAACAATTTTCATCATTATTTATACATCATCTTCATCCTTCATCATCTTGAAACTTATTCAATCAACCTAATCATCATCATTCCCAATCCTGGTATCCTCAATGATCCTTGACTCTTTTTCATTAATTCATTTGATTAATCCTGTTGATTAGTATTCAGGTTTTATTTTCATTGTTATTGTAATAATTTTATTACTTTTGGGTGTTTGATTTTTGTATTCAACACTTTCACTTGGTCAACACAATTGATTATGTTGATGGTCACTCTATTGTGTTTATAGCTGGCATACACATTTACATATCATTAACTTTTGAATATTTTATATATAAAACTTTATTGATTGAATTTATTACAATTTACTAATCATTTGTTAACTTTTACTTTTTTTCCCAATTTTCCTTTACCTGAATTTACAGTGTTAGCGATTGTAGTGATCTACTAATGCAAACCTTATTGGAGTTTATCTATTCCTTGGTGATTAAAGGTGATCTTGCTTTTGCTCGAGTTCTTCGTGGTAAAGTTATCGAAAAGTTTGATAATCGACGAAATGGTGGACTGGTAGTTACAAATCAGATACTTCTTCCATCCATTAATGTATCAGCTAAACATTTAACTTTACATAGCTTTAAATCGGAAATTGTGGCCGAACAAATGACCTTAGTGGACGCTGGACTTTTTCAGAAGGTGGAAGTAGCTGAATATCTACTTTGGGCCAGAGAACAGAAAGAGGAACTAATACCAAATTTAAATAAGTTTACCGAACATTTTAACAAAATGTCCTATTGGGCTCGATCTCGAATAGTGGAAATTGAAGATCCTAAAGAAAGGGAGAAATTAGTTACCAAATTTATCAAAATAATGAAGCACCTTCGAAAGATGAACAATTTCAATTCTTACTTGGCTCTACTTTCCGCCCTCGATTCTGGTCCCGTTAGACGATTGGAATGGCCTAAAAGTATCACTGAATCGCTTAAGGATCTATGTTCCCTCATCGATTCATCTTCCTCTTTTCGAGCCTATCGTCAAGCACTTGCAGAAACTCAGCCACCCTGTATACCTTATATTGGACTTATTTTACAAGATTTGACATTTGTTCATATTGGAAACTCTGATTTCCTCTCTGATTCAGCCGGAAACAATATTAATTTTGCTAAACGTTGGCAAATATTTAACATCTTGGACCAAATGAGAAGATTTAAAAACAGGTAAGTTTAATGAACAATTAAATCCACTAATAGTAAATTATGTTGTTGTTGGTGATAAAGTTGATTAATTTTTGCCAATCGTCATTGTCTACATCCTGATTACAGACTAATGTCAATAACACATTCACACAAAAATTACAATTTAATTAACACAATCAAAGAGTAACAAAATTAACACAGAAATAGTAACTAGTCTCTCAACAGTGTTTATGTTGATCAAGTAAATGATTTATCCTTGACAATTGATTATCAAATTGTAAAAACTAATCTATTTCAATTCAGTTGTTGTCAAATTTTCAACAATTTAAACTTAAATCATGATTTGATTGATTATTTATCCATCTTAATCATCCTCATCTCCAATATAATGTATACACTTACTGATGAATTAATATTTGAATTTATTTTTTTTTCTCTCACTAATTCATCATTTATATTACTTTTTTGTGTCAATTGTTAGTTTTTCACTTTGAGCAATCAATTTTGATTGTTGATTTGTTTAGTTAATTTTCATGTTTAACTATCCTTTAAATTGTTTTATCTTTGCAATTAACTCTCAAATTACTTTCTACAGATTAAGTTACTCTTAATTTTGTTTCTTCCATAATGTTTACATTATATTGTCTATTTCTTAACATTGATTACATTTAATTGTTTACAGTTTTTGTCTCTCCTTTTACTGGATTAGTATTTTTCTTGGAAACTGTTAAAAGATTTACTTTTTTTCTGCTTACATTGAATATTTGTATTAACTAATTGCAATCAAAATAACGTCAAGATTAGTTAATTTTTGGAGAAAATCAGTTAGTATTTTCTACTATTAATTCATTGCTATGAGTTGCAAACTTTACCAACAATTTGCTATTTTCATTCAACAATTAACTGATTGATTGTGCTTGTTATTATTATAACCCAATTGAAAATATATCGTCACCTCGTTTTTGTTTTCACATGAAAATTTAATTTGATTGTTGATCAAACTTTATTTTTTCTTGGCTTGATTGATGATATTTTCTGACATTGAAAGTTTTCAATCTTAATTGTTGAGGTTTGGTCGTTGATTTTTTCTTACTGTTGATCAAATTTCAGATTCTGTTATCCTGTTGTTGTTAATCAATTGATGCTTAACCATTACCTTATTTTTTTCAGGTAAATGATTTACTGATATCCATTAAATTGTAAATACTATTGATGTGATCAACCGTCACCATCATTATCAGTAATTCACGATATCATATTAATCAACAAATTTCATCTACAATTCATTGACTTTTCAGGCCAATTTTCAAGCAGTTTATATAAATCTTTTCAATTCCTTGAAAATATCTCACTTTAAATTTGTAATAAATGTCTTTCCATCAATTCTGGATGATGATGAGAAAAAATTACCTTCATCATGATGAGCAAGTTAATCTAAAACATGAGAAGCCAATAATTTAATCATTCATCTGATTAACTTGAAACATTTAACCTAATTATCAAGATGAAGGATTGGTCATCAACAGTATTTAAAGCATCCTCATCTTTCCGATATAAATTATCTCAATTGCGACTTATATTTGGTGTGTTCCTGGTGTATCATCATTCACTAAACAATTAGTTGATTGTCTTCAATCATAATCCATTGATAAAGTAATGTAACAATGTTGATTATCATTTGAATTCATTACTTAACATTCACTAATCTCTTGATGATGATTAGTGTATTTCTGGTTTATTTCATGAATCCAGAATCTTCAAGTATCTTTTCATTTATTATCATCATCATTTCTTGGTGTATGATGATTATTGTGATGATTAAAGTTTTAATTATAAGACATTTGATGATGATGATGATGAACCTTCATCACCTCGAACCCCTACAACTACTACACCTCCTCCATTCTATGTCTCAATTACCGTAAATTGTTGACATGAGCTAATTAATCATGATAATTAAGTCAATCTCCTCCTATAAGATTCTGCTGATTATCCAGATTTATATATTTAATCCTCTATGCGTCTTAATCATTAACCAATCTGATTGTAAATGAGATAATTGCCGTTGGCCATTTATGCGGTTTAATTGAAAATTTATAAGATGATCAAGATGATAATTATTATTCCGATAATGTTAAGTAATAGTTGTAATTGAAATTTGATGTCATTCAATTGCAATATTGATGTATAAATAATCAAGGTGATTGATTAATCTAACAATCACAATTGGGTATCAACAGAATCAACATTGATTATCTATTATTATTACTATAAATCACGATCAGTACCACTTGATTATAGTAAATTGATAATAGTAGTTACAATGATTTATTCATTCAGATGATGGGAAAGTGATTAAGATAAGAAACAAAAAAGTTTTGTTTATTGATAATCGTTGATTTGATTGTTTAAAGAATCACGTTTCATTGAATTTTGATTGTCAGTCTCAAATATGTGTTTTTCTTAATTGTTGTTGATTTTACTATTACTATTTCCCACCATGATTTAAAATACTATGATAGGGAGCGATGGAGTGGTGAACATTATGATGATGATGGAGATGAAGATGAAGATGAGGATGAGGATGAGGATGAAATCGGTTTGAGGATAAACTTTTCAGGCACTGATAAGTTTTACTATTGATGCTTTTTTTTGCCACCAATTTAAGACAAAAGCATCTCAAGTGTAACTAATGAATTTGTGGTTTGATTAAATGACCATCTTACAATTAAATATAATTGGAATGATGATTATCAGGATTAGTGGATTAGTTTTTTCCCCCCAACGATTTAAAGTAAACTTAATCTTTTCAATTGATGTAAAATTGTTTCTTGTACATAACCATTCAAGTAATAATTTTGATTGTTTCGATTATATCACTTAATCGTTATTCTTAATTAAATTAACATTTAATTGTTGTTTACCTTTAATCATTGCTTTTCCTTATTGTCATTATTTATTACTTGTGTGTAATAATAATGATCATAATGAATTGTTTTACCGCTCAATTGATTGTGAATCAGTTAAATTGCCAATTGTGTCTGATTATCAGGTTCACTTATAATGAAGATCATGTAACTGTAAACATAACAATTTATCATTAATTTGCAAACTAAAACAATGCAAAAAAAAAAAACACCAAATAATCAACATTGTTTTGTATGTGATTGGATTATATATCATAACGATTAATTGTCAATCTAATTAACTAATTGTTTCTCTTTTCATTTCCTCTTTTTTTTCAGTCATTATCCATTCAAGAAAAATGAACAAGTTTTAACGTTTTTCAATGATTTTGATAACTTCTTATGCGAGGAAGCAATTTGGCAAATATCGGAAACAATTAAGCCTCGAATCAACGGCAGTTCAAATGTTAATTCATCACCAGAAAAATCAACAACCTCAACAAGTACCAAAAAATGAGACAAATGAGCTTTTTTTTACTTCCATAGTCCTGATATTATGCATATTGACCATTGTCCACTCTCACCTTGATCCTGTTGTTGTTGCTGTGTGTGAATATGTGTAGATAGTTGATACAATAATCCTTTTGTATTCGGACGCTCTCTCTCTCCCTGTATATCTTGATCATGGAAATGATTTAAAATTAGTCATAGAAACACAACAATCATAACGCACTAATTGCAATCAACACTTGAAAGACAAATTCTGAAGCAAAACCAAAACAATTAGTCGACTCACCTTTAATTGTACACACTAATTACCTAATTATTATTATTATTATTATATATCATGACCACCAAATAACTGGACAAGACCATAAAGATTTTAATGAAGACGATCAATATTATTATTATATTTCCTGTTAATCTAATTGACCAAAAATAAGATGACCGATTGTTATTATTGAAAGCGAAATCAAGGAATCCAATATATTGGCAAAGGAGAATGAAAAACAAACATTTATTCAAATTAATTTTCCTCTAAATGATTAAGATTAATCTGATCATGATGAGATGATTATTAGCAAACAATTTAAGTCTACAATTATATTAGTTATTAACTTTTCATTCAGATTTTGTGAGATGACACGAAAAGTGAGAGACAACAAGATGACACAATTTATATTATTATTATTATATTGATTGTGATGATTAACTTAAATCAGTTGAAATCAATCATCACCATGATAATCATTATTTTGATGATAAGTTAATTGCAAATGATTTTTACTCAATCTTTTTTTTTTCTGTTGATATCATCATAAACTCAGAACAATCAACACAATGACAATCTTAATTTGATTAACTCAATTTTGTCAACACATCAAAATGTTTCAACAATCATCGATGATATTTAACTAATCATTTAGGACAATTAATCACAATTATAAAATGATCATCAACAACAATCATCATCAAATTGTCACCTTACAATTAAGCCCAATCTTTTTAAAAGAAAAACGTAAAAACAAATCTACTATTTACTAATCAATATTAACCATCAATTCACAATTTACGTTGATAATTATGTCAAGTGATGTTTTAATTAACACTTACATGTATATTTAGATAAATCTAATTGCTATATTGTCAACAATCAAGTCTTAATCATAACACTTCATTGTAATCTCCCAATTTTCATGTTCAATTTTTTTGCTCTCCTCCTTTTTTTTTGCTGGACAAATCATCATCTTCATTAATGTTATACCTTCTTGATTAATTGTAATCAATTTTTTGTATCATCCTCATCATCTTAATTTGCATATTGTGCTTTTATCTTGTCTTTCCCACTCCCAAGTCCCACTTTGCCGCTGCCGTGGTCGCATCCTCATCTGTTAATCATATTGATAATTTTATGTCAAACTGATGGAAAAATATATATTACAATTATGAAGTATATTTAGAAATTGTAAATCAAGACAATTAATTGTTATTTAATCGGCCACTTTAATGGGAAAGTAAGTTAATTGTTGTCAATTAACTTTACTTTGATTTTCAAGTGTAAATCAAAAATTGGCAACCAATTGGTTAATCGTTTAGTTACTCAATTAATAGAAACCATAACAATCAAGGTTAAAATAATTTGGCAGAAAATTAGTTAACCATTAATCACTTTTTGGTTAATTGTTGATCGATTGAAGGTAAAAAAAAATTAGGACATTCGACGAAAGTTACAATTAAATGAGAATTGATTTAAATCTTAATTCAGTTTCTGAGAGAATTGTAAATGAAAAATTAAATACTAATCGACTAATTGTTTTACTAGATTAACTATTGATTATCTTACAAATTTGTTAATTGTTGGTTAAAATTTAGATTAGTTGACAATTTTATTTGATCAACCTTCCAGAAACACAATTAACTAATCATGGTAATAATAAATTTACCTAGATTATGATTATAATCACGGTTCAATTAATTTTCACTCCTTGATTGTTTCATTACCAAATTATATGATTAAATTATTAATTTCATCTACGTGATTCAATCAACAATTTGTAGGAAACAATTAACTTGATTCACCTCAACTAAACCACAATTAACTAACTACAAACATAACACTTAAACTAATCAACATACAGATAATGATTAGTTCATTTCAATTGTGGGAAATTAAAAAAAAACTAATGATCAATTTGACAATTAAAGTTTATTGGGAAACAAAACAATTGATTAAATTGAGAGTTTGATTTAATTGCATTAATATTTACAGTTAATTTAGTTTACAATTAAAATATCACAGTGATTAGGATTTAAATTGTTGTTGCAAAGTTGAATTTAAATGACAACAGAAAACCAATAATAATATTATCATTGATTTAGAATCTACAATTGAAAAGATTGATTAACAATTTGATTAATAAAATTGCAGGAACAATTAACAAGCCCTTTTGATGACCACAATTAGATTGATCATCATCATCATCGTAATCAACTTGATTGTTATTAGTTGAATCTTTGATTCCTCTTTTCTTATCCCTTGATCTCGTTTCTTTAAATTTCCCACTCGAAATTGATTTAGTCTTTGATTTGGATTTTTTTACATCATAATCGTCGACAATTAAATTAACTGACTCATCGTCTTCATCATCATCGATATCAGAAGAATCAATTTTGTTCAGTTGATTAGTTAATTGTTCACCAGAATCACCAACATCATCGTCATCAGATTCATCGGTCTCTGTATTGGTATAAAAAGTAAGAGATGAAAGTTTTTCCAACAATTAGGTTTAATTATTTTCGTTTGATTTTTTTAATTGTTCAATTTAATTGTTATTAAAGTTGTGAATACATTGAATTGGATAATAATAAATTTACTTTAATTGTAACCAAACAACAACTTTTTCTGCTCTGAGGTTGAATCACAATTAACCGGAAAGCGGAAATTAATGATTAGTCTGATTAATTTTCAGCAATTAACTAGATTGCAATCAAATTTTAAGCAATTTACTTAACGAAATAATAAAATCAATAATATATTAAATGAAGTGGTCACATTAATTACTAACTAATTTAGTTTTCTGATAATCATTAGGTAATAATGATTAACAATCAACTAAATCAACTGAATGTTGTATTTAACCCTAAGGCTTTGTGATAATTAATTATCAATTGTTTGATTAATTGTTAACTGTTTATCACAATTAGATGATTGTGAAGGAACAAGAAATCATGCTGATCAGTTAATTGTTTGCTAATAGAAATTGAGTTAAATTAACCTAAATTATTGAGTAATAATCAATTTATTTCACTACAATTAGATTAACAAAATTGTTAATTTTTAATTGTTTCAATTTAATCAAACACAATCAATCAGTATAACAAGTATTACAATCAAGTTTAATTGTAGTTTTTAATTGTTAATTCAAATCATGGACCAAGTTAATATAAATACAGTTAATTGTTGTGAATTGATTAACATGATTAAAACTCATTGACCCAGAGATTTTAATTGTCTAACAAAACAAAATTAACTAATTAACCAATTTAATTACATTTAAATTTTTTTATCTCTTCTTAACCCTGTTAATTAAGACAACAATCAGCTGGGAATTAAATTGTTTAATTTTAATTTATCCACAACAATTAAAACTGATTAATTAGCTAATTTAATCCTCAAGGGTTTGTCCTTGTTTCTTGATGAAATTTATTGGAATCAACTATTGATTAACTAATTATCATTATCGTTGAGCAAACAATTAGACTAACCTAATCAATGAACATTGCCAATCACGCAATCAACAATTAATTTCAACTAAAATATTAATTGTGACAAAAAGTTTCTTTAATTAATCAACTCGATCAACTCTAAATAATTAACTAGACAAACAGAAATTGTAACAATCAAAATGAAAATAAGATACAAATTAACTAAAGAGAGTGAGAGAGAAAGGTAAACAATTAAATTTAGACACAAAAGTAAACAATTAACTGGATTAAAAGTAACAATTAAAGGTTTAATCAGTTGAAACGAATTAATCAAATTCAATGAGACGGAAATTAAATTAAATGTAAACTTTTGAAAGGAAAATAAAAAGTTTCTGACATTTGATTGATTCTGTTGGAAGATTAAATTAATAATCACATAATTGAATTAACTGAAAAATTGATTCCAATTTAACAATTAAGAGAAGACTTGATTTAATAAATTTAATTGTCTCACCATTAAGGGTAATTAAACCTTCCTGGAAGCCCAATTGATTACGAGCGTAACAACGATAATCATCATAATCATCTCGATTAATTGAGTAAATGATTAACTGGAAAGTTGATTTGTACAATTTATCGATACTTTTGATTAAATATTTTGAGCTGGAAGATGATGAAGATGAAGATGAAGATGAAGATGATAATCTTATATTGTCAATTCCTTTGGTCCAATATTTGTCGTTAATAGGAAAACCTTCAATGTGACAATTTAAAGTGATCGTTGAACCAATTGAACCTTTAACAACCCGATTACCAATCCAAATAGTTGGTGCAACTGAACAACAATTAGAGAGATCGATACACAATTAGAATTTTTAATCATAATTGTTTGCTAATTTCTTACAATTAACATGAAGTTGAATTCGACGGGAAATCGCCGGTGGAACTCCGTTCGAGGCGATACACAGATAAACACCCATGTGGCCTCGAGATACTCTGGAAATCGTTAAACTTTCACCAGGAACACCTCGAACTTTGATTAGAAAAATAAAAAAGTTCTAATTAACAATTCTGACCCATCACAGATCAACAATCAAACACAATTTAAATCAAGTCTTGATGATTAACATGTTGGCTAGTTTTTTCTTGTCACTGATTAGTGTTAATTATATTACATAATCAAGTTAATTAGTTTTGTCATTAGTGATTAACGTGATTATCTGTTTAATTGTAATCAAAGAGTATTCAATCATTAGTAATATTTTGTATTAATACAAAATGATAATTATCATTTTGTTTGATCGTTAAAATAAATCAACAGAGGAATCAGTTAATTGTTTACAAGTGGAAACAATCAAATGGAGAAAAAAAATTCAGGTACAATTATGATTAATAAACTTTTCTTAATCATAATTGTTTGTATTTTCACTAGACAATCAATTAATCATGTTAATCAATTCTTCCAAACGGAGGGAAAGGATTTTCATATTCAATTGATATAATTGAAACACGATTAACATGATAAATCATAATTGTTTTGATAGTTACATTTGATGATGATTATTGATTATCCAACAATCAAATTAATCATCAAGAGAGAGAGAGAGAGAGAGAGAGAGTCCTAATTGTAAAGGTTAATCATCATTTTGTTTGATTGTTGTGTATAAATTGTTAATGAACAATTGGCTAATCATGTTAAGATAAATGAATGAATTATGAGTATTACCTGAATATTTCTTATAATTATCTTGTAAAATTATCTCGGAATTATCTTCCCGCCGCCATTTAACATTGGGAGTGGGATTTCCTTTGGTGAAACAGGTAAGGGTCACATTGGTTCCCTCGGGTACAATTTGATCCCATTGCTGATTTACCGCCGAGGAATCAAAATAAGGAGGGACAAGAACCTCAAGAAAACCGACCTGACTTTTCATGGGCGTCGTATTGATCTGGCACATGTAACCACCTCGATCAGATTCTTGGACATTTTTGATCATCAGGATAAATGAACGATTCTCATTTGTGATCAGAGATAAACGATAATTCCGACTGATGACATGTTGATGTATTGTCAGGATTCCCTTGTCTTCAACCCTTAACCAAGCGGCCTAAGAACGAGAGAGAAAGAGAGAGAGAGTGGGGTGGGTTGTGTAGAGTGGAAAGAAATTATTATTATTTCGATTCAAATGAAAATGTTTCGATTTCATTTTCTTCCCAAAATTCATTGTGATTTAATTTTGTTTCCTTTCATTTTTCTTTCTGATTGAATGTTCAGTTCAGTTCATCTGATGAACATCTTACCATGAATTTTATCTTCTCTTTATCTCTCTCACTCGGTTTTTTCATTTCATTCAGAGAAAAACTTTTCATGGTGGAAAAATTTTCCCTTATACAATTTCTCTTCTCTCTCTCTCTCTCTCTCTCTCTCTCTCTCTCTCTCTCTAATATCTTTCCACCTTGAATTGAATTCTTCAGGATAACCTTCATCACTTTATGGTGTCAACATGATACCAAGTCTAATAAATATCCATCATCAGTAACATCATCTTCAGTTCACCTTCATCAAACTTCACCCTGTAATCTTTATTTATCCATCTCTATCCGTCTTTCATGTTTCAACTGAACTTCTTCATGCAATCTCATGATAAATGTTTCCAATGGAGAGTAAAAAAAATTGTCTAGTTGTTGTTGTTTTCTTCAACAACAATCACAACGTTATCCCTTGAGGTGATAATGAATCGTTGATCATCATCACCATCACCATGAAATCAAATGTGAAAAAGTTGCTTAGGAATATAATTCAATTTATCAACAAATTGCATCATAGAAACTGAATTAACATTCCATCAACCCAATCGATTATGAATCAGAAACTTCAACAATCAATTTCAATCTCAAAGTAAAAATGAACATTCAAGTTACAGAAATTATCACAGATACAATCAACTACCATGAAATGATCATGATAGAAACATTTAGCTACATGAATATTCAGAATTTTTCAGAAAAAAAAACATTATCCAGAATCAGAATTTCCCTCAATGAGGAAAAAAAAGAAACTAATTCTCACATGAAATTATTAATCATTAATCATGATTATTATTAATGATAATTATTTAATTTGCAAATCTATTAATACAAATGATCATAAACTATTAACTGTTAATCTGAATTATATTTCCTTTTCCTGTTTCATATTTTTATATTAATGATTTCATGAGTTCCTGTTTGGTGTTTACTCAGATGATAACCAATAATAGGACAACAAATATTATTTCAATTTTTAAACATCATGGTGATGATGTTTGTTCATGTTAGAGTTGTTTTTTTCCAGAATTTAACAGAAAAGTTTATCAATAAATCTAAACTTTTCAGTTTCCATTTCCTCCATGAACAAGGTTCAAGTTATAGATACTATTACAATGGTAATAACAATGAATGATAATTCATCATCAGATAACCTGACATAACATGATGATCATGGTGATAACGAGCTTCAAACTATAACAGAATTCTCAATATTCATGATGTTTATCCGAAATGGATTCACAATCTACTCGGAACATTTTTTTTATCTTTCATTGAGATGATAATGTTTCAGATTTTTTTTTTCTCGTCACTTTCACCTTTAAGCTTTTATGTTGTTAATAATTCAGGTTCCAAAGTTTTTATCACCATGATAATAGACTTGGAATTGGAAATGTTGTTACAATTTCTTTCAGATAATGGAACTGAATCTTTACGTTTACTTCATGGTGGCGATGATAATAAATTTCCATCTCTCTCTCTCTTTTTCTCGGTGATGATGAATATCAATTGGAATCTAACTTTCATCTCTTCATGATTAGTGTAAATTCTTGAAACTTAAACAATTTTCATGGTAAATTTTTCATCCACATGCGATTGACTAATGTAAAGTTTTTCGCTACTTTCATGGTATCATGAACAGCCAGCAATCAATCAATTGTGACCTGATGATGATCACATCATGATGAGAATTGATAAAACAAACAGAATAAGCATCAAAATATTAGGAGAGGAAAATGTTACATGAGGAATGATTTTCATTTATCAGAATTTTGAAAGTTACGAAATTATTATATTGATAGTTGTATAAAAAGATGATAATTTTGAATAATGAACATGAACAATCAGATTGATTTAAAAGTCAATGAATAGAAAATCAATTCTGAAGGTTTCGATTGGATTTGAATTGATTTACAAACTCAATTTTGTTCATCATGAATGAGAGGTGATGATGATAATTTACATGTAGATGGTGAGGAAAAGAAAAAGTTCTAAGGGGAAAACTCGATAAGATTCATATTCCAAAGATGAAAATTTCATCATGAATCTGATTGTCTTTGACTTGCAATTCAATTTATTCACACTCAAGGCTGATTTCCTCGACTATATCATCATCACCATCTTCATCATCTTCATCATGGTGATTATATTTTGTTTCAACTTTTGTACTCTCAATATGGTTGGTGAAAAAAAGGAAATAATAAAAAAGGAAAAAGATTCATCTGAATACCCTTGAGTCAAGAACTGAATACAATGTTGAACAGAATCAGAATGATATGCAAACATGAGGAATTATCATCGTCATCATCATCATGATTATGGTTATTAACACTTCCTGTAATAACATCTTCTTATACATCATGTCATCATAATCACCATCAGTAAATTGGGAACAGAAAAACTCCCACCTTATATATTCAATCTTCCCTTACCACCGACATCTCAACTAGTATATGCCCCCAGGCAATTCAGTGAAGATCATAAATTTGTCTATTTCAATCCGTTCAAGTATCAACTTAATCATGAAAACTTCGTCTCAACTTTCATATAATAGTTGCAACTTTATTGTTTTCTTTTTCTATCCTGATTTCAGTCTATTAGAACAAAAGAAAACGATAGTTCGAGGATCTAATACTTTTCTATGCCCACACACAAAAACTCAATGGTGAAAATGATGAACTTTATCATGAGATTATCAACTCAGTTTGTTTCAAGGAAATGAATTGTTGATCTTCAATTGTGTTAACCTCTTTTACTCAACACTTTTTCCTTCTCAATTGAAATGAACATCATTCTGAAAAGATGATGAAATTGAATATATTCACCATGAAGACTAACTCCCCACTCCCAGTGACAATCCTTGAAATTGATTTTAAATATATAACGAAAATGGATCAGCAATAAAATTGATAACATTTTAAATCTTGAGGGATTTTCATTGAGGTTTTCACTTCTATCACCATGTTAATATTCACCATTGTCGCTGAATAATCATGATGAAACTTTTTCTTCCTCCCTGCCATCGAACTTGAATCAAAACTTTTAGAACTTTTTTTTTCGGCTTCCTTTTCATTCATTCATCTAAATTGTTATTATATAATAACTTTATTCCATTCAATTAATGAACAATTCCAAACTTGGTGTTTGAATGAATAAATTACCATGAAAAATGAACTCCATCAACTGGTCATCAGGTTTGTAGTGATATTTATTTAGAGAATTGGGATTTGGACAATTGAACGTTGATTTAGTTGATTTATTTAACTTTATTTAATTAACATTTTTATTTTTAATACATTTGATTTGAGGTATTGTTTAAGAGAGAAAAGGGTTTTTGGAGAGGAGAGAGAAAGGAACTAAGGTAGATCTCGACACTGAGATCCTTCCTTAGTTAGGTTGATAGAGAGAAGGAAAAGTTGGGGAAAAGGTGAATCTCAACACTGAGATTCTTCCTTTCGTTGGAAGGGTTGAGAGGAAACTGAGGATGATTCTTCTTTCTCTCTGGGTTTTAATTTATACCTGAGAGAGAAAGAAGAGAAAGAGAATGAAAAGAAAGAGAAAAAGAAAGAGAGATGTAAATCTTTAATCTTTGATCTTTACTTGTTTTTCTTAATATTATCTAAAATTTTGATCTTAATTCTATTAGTTATTTCTATGTAAAATTAATCTAAATTAACCATAATTAACCCTTTATTTTCCCTAGATCAATTAAAGCTTTTAATCAGTTGATGATATTATTCAACTGACTTTATCTAAATGTCAATTATTTTATTACACGTCCCCGCCGCTATCGAGAACAGTCCCTTGTTCTCAATTTCTTTCTTTTCTTACAGAAAAAGGGGTTAGATTTGTTTTTGGTATTGGATAATTATTGATTGTTTAAGATTATTGTAAGATTGTAGTGAATTGATATCGGATGAACGTCGATGATCAATTGTGTTTTGCTTTGTATTTTGGTTGAGTGATCTCGGATGAACGTCGAGGATCCTCGTTGATTAATTTTCATTGTTGTTTGATAATTTTATTACTTTGGTTATAAAGGGAATCTCTAAACTAAATCACTACTAAAAAAAATTCGAAGGGATGATGTTTAAACTTTTCGTTCCGTTGTCCAATTTTTTTTTTACTGTTTAATTTCAATGAGACCGATCGATATTTGGATTATCTCTCTATCGGGTCAGTTTGTTTTTCAGGGTAATGGAAAATGACTTCTTTTGGTCGTAATCCCAATTAACTGGTGAAGAAACTTTAAGAAATCGGTTCTTTTCATGATGTTTCTTTGTTTTCTTACGTTTTCTCGCTCTTCGGGTTAGTCGATGTTTGTTTGGTTTTTTGTCGATAATTCTCTTACGTTTAGTTAAATTCTGTTTAAAATTAAATTGTTTCCTTTGAGGTGGTTTTGTTATCTTGGGTGGTTCGTTGTTGATTCTTATTTTCTTAGTTTGACAGTCGATACTGATTTTAGCTTTTGAAAGAATGTCGTTACCAATGATGAACTTATTAGATTTAAGGTTTTCCATGATCAAGATGTCGTTTTCAATCGATAATGCTGATTGACCATCGTTAATTTTAAGGCTTGCTTGAGATTGGCCAATGATTTTGATTGGTTTTTCGTTAACATCGTATAATTCAGGTCCTTTGTAAGGTTCAATTGGCAGTTGTAATTCTTTTGCTAAAGGTAGAGTCAAAACTGATACACCAGAACCAGTATCTATTATTGCTTCAATTTTGTTTTCATCAATCTTTATTGGATGTTTGATTAATTGAATGGTGTTTTGAGGTGAAATTAAATTTATTTCAGGAGGTGAATTCGGATTATCGTTTTCTTCTAAGGTAATGGGGCCGACATAAGTTTTGAAAGGTTCTTGGTTAGAGAAACTTGTGAATGGTTTTGAGTCGACTATCAGTTTTTCATCTTGATTTGGGTTGTAAGCGTTCAAGTGTTGTGTGTATTGGGGTAAAATTGGTTGTTGATTGACAAAGTTTTTTGTTGGGATAAAAGGCTGTAAATAAGGGACGCGATTGTAATCCATCTGTAATTTTTTCGGACAGTATTCTTCTGTGTGATTTTGGTCTCTACAGTAATTACAAAATAGTTTGGGTTTTGGCTCTGAAAGATAGTTTATCTTATTTGTTAAATGATTGATTGTTTTCTGTAGCTTGTGTACTGTTTCTAATATATTTGACTTATCAATCGTAGCAGGTTGATTGAAATTTGTTGTTTGGTAAAAGTTGATCTGACTACTGGCCCTTTCGGCTATTCTACTAGCAGAAATATAATCATTGATAGTTTTGGGATTTTGAATTGCGATACCATACTGAATTTGAGGAAGAAGTTTATCTCTAATCAATCCTATTATCATTGATTCGGGCATTTTTTCATCTATCTTTAAACAGAGATCTATCAATTCGTAGATGAAATTGGATGAAGGCTGACCTGGTTGTTGTCTAAAGCTACTTAAACGAGTGGAGAGTTTAATTCTGTAATCTGGTGGACATAAATTTTGAATGAGTCTAGATTTAAGTTTCTGATAATTGTTAGGTTTTTCTAAGGGAGCAAAAGGTCCTGAAATGAATTGATACCATCTTTTTGCACTCTGAGTTAAATAAAAGGGTAAATGTCTGAACATATTGTCTTCGTTCCAATTTAAAAGTTTCGCGTTAAATTCAAAGTTACTAATCCATTCAATAATGTCTTCTTCATCATCTTCACCACTGAAAGGATTGATTGTTATTGGAACGTTGGAAAAGTTTGGGTAATTAATAGAATTGACAAAGACATTGGGCTGGTCAGAGTCTGACATAATTGAGGTGGAATCAGAGTCTCGACACTGAGACATATGATTTTAAGGTAAATAGGTAGAAAGTTGTGTTAATCAGAGTCTCGACACTGAGACATATGATCAAAAAAGGAAGTTAAAACAATTGCAATTTTAATAGAAGTTAGAGTTTGGTGGAAATTTAACGAAAGCTTACCAATATTTAAGACAGAATTTAATTGAAAGTTAGTTGTAACGAAACGAAAAGAGTACCATCACTAGCCCTTCCTCATCGTGGGCTCCATTTGTAGTGATATTTATTTGAAGTTGGATTTGGACAATTGAACGTTGATTTAGTTGATTTATTTAACTTTATTTAATTAACATTTTTATTTTTAATACATTTGATTTGAGGTATTGTTTAAGAGAGAAAAGGGTTTTTGGAGAGGAGAGAGAAAGGAACTAAGGTAGATCTCGACACTGAGATCCTTCCTTAGTTAGGTTGATAGAGAGAAGGAAAAGTTGGGGAAAAGGTGAATCTCAACACTGAGATTCTTCCTTTCGTTGGAAGGGTTGAGAGGAAACTGAGGATGATTCTTCTTTCTCTCTGGGTTTTAATTTATACCTGAGAAGAGAGAGATGAAAGAAAGAGAAAAGAAGAGATGTAAATCTTTAATCTTTGATCTTTACTTGTTTTTCTTAATATTATCTAAAATTTTGATCTTAATTCTATTAGTTATTTCTATGTAAAATTAATCTAAATTAACCATAATTAACCCTTTATTTTCCCTAGATCAATTAAAGCTTTTAATCAGTTGATGATATTATTCAACTGACTTTATCTAAATGTCAATTATTTTATTACAAGGTTTATGGACAATTTTCATTGTGATTGTAATAATAACGATTATCAGAACTTGTTATCCACTTTCATATTGAATTCAACCTCTCACTCAAATAATTAGCTTGATATTATTATTACTGAATTTAATATCATCAATTAGGCTTAATTGTTGTCGCAACAATGTTGTTAAAACTTTGATGGTTTTATCAGAATCAATTATTAATAGTAACTTTTTTTTCACTTTTTGGTTCCTGTTCAATACTCATTGGGAATCATAACATTTACCTTTAGCTAAACACTGGCAATGAATACAAATGATTATCATCATGTTAATGATAATAATCAATGTACATAATTAGCAACATCAACTCAATTACCTTATATGGGCCAAGAGAACTGACCAAACAGGTCAGTTGAGCATCGCGACCAACGGCAACGGTTAAATTTGGTATCGGTGCCAAGAACTTGGGTTCACCGTCATCAGAAACTGCAGCTAAATCTGTGGAGAAACAAAAAGGATTATCAACAATTAGTTAATTCTCATTCTTTTTCAATAATTGATTGTTTTTCTACCCAATTTAAAGTCAACAATCAACAACTCAGGGTAAATCCTTTCAATATCATTGAATGGATGAATTTTATAACGTTAATTAGCTAATTTCACCTTAATTGTTTGTCGGTTAAATTAAATTAGTGAACTTAATTTACTCTCTTTTCTTTCATATTCTAGGTTATTGTTGGTGAAGTGATAGAAGATTAATTAAATTTGGAATACAATAGAGTTACGAAAGAAAGAGATGATAAAGATGATAAAAGGAAGAAAAAAGTTTCAAAGTTACTAAAAATGCTCATGATAATGAAGATAATTATCATGATGATGATTTCGATTACCTTTTGTCTTTCTTATTCTCTATGGTATAATCGTAATAAGATGACTGATGATGATAAAAGGGAGAAGATGATAAGAAACAACTGATAATACTAATGATGAAGATGAAGATGATGATGATATGTAAGAGAAGAGGAAAAAAGAAAGAAACATTTCAGTAAAGTGGACTTTCTGAAAGGACTAATTAGACTCGAGCGAAATCATCACCATTATCATCTTACTCATCATTATAATCCTCTAAAGGATAAAAGATTTTCTATCATCATCATCATCATCATCTTTTATCATCATTGATGATACAAACTGATATGATAAATGATGTAAACAGAATCATTTTTATCAATTTTTACCGTTACTCGTTTTCGTCAACAGTGTTCAAGTTAAACAAAAATTGTGAAACTTTTATTGTTTATTTGGTGATGGAAACTGAGCAAAAGTGATGAGGATGATAAGAGGATGATGATAACAATGATAGGAGCACATTTCAAGAGCTTAATAAGTATTAATATATATTTGCAGTTGATGTCATACCAATAATCATCTTCATCACTTTCCGCTGAAATTGTTCATCATCATCATCATTGAGGTTTAATCTGTTTCTCAAAATAACCTCAGGGCATTAAGGAGCTTTACCTTTGTCCTGGGTGTTAGGGTGACTAATTTGATGTGTTCATTGTATCTAATGATGAGGATGAAAATAATAATAGTGACTCTTGGTTGCTTATTATTTTCATTATTATTATTTAACTACCTTTTGCCTGAAGATGATCAAGATGAAAGTTGGTATATAATGATGATGATCACATTCAATTTGATGAGGATAATGATGAATGCTCTGGAAATATATCTTATTGTTATCATCACTTTCTTGTTGTTAAAACTCAGCATGGATTAATGAACTTTATCTGAAACTCTGTCATAAAGATGATGAAATGATAATGAGAGAGAGAGAGAGAGAAACAAATACAATTGAAAGAAGAGGAAATCTAGAGGTAATTTCTGATTCATTTCATGATTAGATTGTGAAATTTACTCAGATTCTGATTTGATTAAACTAATAAACAATAACGGATCAAATTATTTGAGACAAATCATTGTATTTGATTTGTTTCCAATTGAATTACATCAGATTATCATGATGAATTCTGGGATACCAATCATGAAAAATAAACCAGAAAATTGATACAAAATGTGATATTTTTTTCCTCCCCTGAATGACTTGAAATTTTAAGTAAATTCAGTGAAAAAAAAATCCCTAATCGTAATTTCATCAGATTTTCAATATATTATCATGATGATTGCTTCATGAAATTTACATGTTATCAATCAAATCTCAATCAGTTTGATAATTTAAATGATCAATCATTGGTTATTTCAAAGTATCATTATCATGTAAAGTTATCAATTCAATCATTTATTTATACATTTGATCATGAATCATGAAAATGAATTGTTGGACCAATTTATGATCGCAATTTTCTGTCCCTCCCTGAGATATTATCATGATTAAAATCACCCTGAAGAATAATTATTCATCGGTATGATTGTTTTACCTTTTTCCATTGTTGTTTGTTATTTTTTATTCAGTGAGCAAGAAAATTGGAATCAATGGAAATTGGAATTTGATAAGGAAAAGAAGAGGAAAAAAATATATTCTTTTCATGGTAAACATCATCAATTCATGAATTCGGAAATGATAATCAAAAGATGAATAAGATTTTCAATTGATTTATTGTATCTTTCCTATTGTTCATATTGAATATCATCAATTATCTTCATCAACTTGAAAGGTTCCATGGAAACTCAGGCTCATGGACAGTTTCACCTCATGGAAAAGTTTCCAGAGTGTAAAATGTCAAGACACGATTCTTGATGACAATCATGATAATAACAGGTAATTATTTTCAATAATCATCGTGGTGAAAAAAAAGTTCATTAATCAATCGATAAAGAAAAAGAGTCAATTCTCATTCTCAGCTAATCTACTCTCAGAATTTTAATCTTTCAATGTTCTAACCATTATCATGGAATGAACTTTTTTTTTCTTCTCCTCTTTTTGTCCTTTTGATAATATATATAAAAGTTTTTCCTGGTGAAGGTGGAAGGGGAAAAGTTCTGGACAATTGAATCATTGACACTGAAAGGTTTCAACTGAAACTTTTCATCCTCATCCCTTCATCCTCATCATCTTAAACTATTGAACCATGTAACAAACTAATGGATAAGATGAATTGAGTTCTAGGTGAAGCTTATGCTTATCATGGGGAGAAAGAAATTTCCATTCAAAGTTGCAGAACTTTTTGCCAGAATTTTGGTTCTGATGAAAATTAAGGGAAAAAAAAGATTCTTTTTCCAATATTATTATCATTTCTCTTTCTCTCTTTATCACCATCGTCATGAACTTTGCTCCAATTTGGCTGTTAATCGATGGTTGATGAAGATGAAAGATTTAGTTGGCATCGAATTTGTTTCTCCAAATTTGTTGATAATTTCACTTTAACACTCTAACTAGAAGACTACAAATTCGAGGTCAGAACTTTTTCCGCTTGGTTTTGAATTGTTGCTCCTGAATTTCATCAAATTATCATGAATTACAATCTAATAATCAAAAAGGGAGAGAAAGTTAATATAGTTTATACAATAAGAAAAAAGTTCTAACCTCTAATTCATTGCAAGTTTTTTCTCTTCACAATTTATTGAATAACATTTTCTCATCAATTTCAAGTTTATCCAATAATAAAACATTCCCTGTGTTCAGATTCAGATTTTTTTATCTCAAATTGAGAAGAAAAAAAAAGTTCGTTCATCACTTGAGAATCGAAACTTTTTTTTTCTCTCTCTCCATTGACAATAAAATCAACTCTCGAAATGAAATTTACTCCAGAACTTTTCTCTCCCTCTCTCCATCGGATGGAAATCATTTCCCTGTGTGAATTATAAATCAGCATGAAATTCAATTGCAACTGAATTTGAATCAGCCAGAATTTTGGTGAATCAAAATGATTGAAATCGAGAAGAGAAAAAAAAACTTTGGACTTGTTTTTACTTTTTCTCTCCTATTAACTTGGATTATGACATAGCCATTATTCATGGTTAATCATTAAGTTAATCAGAATCAGCTAGATTATCATGATGGAGTAAAATTTCTCATGAAATTGGAGAAAATTTCACATTTTTCTTTTCTTTTTCACCTCTATCATATCTAAATTCATGTGTTCGTGCCTAAAAAAACCCCAAGTCACAATGAGCTCATAAAACTAATTCTGAATTTATCACGATTATCATGATTACCATGAAAATGGTGAGGAAACATTAATATGGCGGAAACTTTGAGCTTACAAGAAAAAAAAAACATTTCCTCCTCATGGTTTCCCACTCACACTTTAGATATGATTTCATATCAAGGTGTTTACTCAGTGGGTGTAATTTAAACCCCACTCACCTTGTTTTCCACCACCACCAGTAACAAATTGATACCTTTACTCTTCCTCCTCCTCTTCCCACCGAGATCCATTTGTTTGCCATTGAATTTTTTACTCATTTCATGAAGTTAACTCTGATTTATTGTTCCCACCATGAGACCATCATGATGGTTTACCTGAGAGATTTTCATGACTTTTATCCCTCTTTTTTTCCTGTTGATTTTAAACTGATTTATTTATGTAATTCAAAACTTAAAAACGCCAATAATTAGCTTGATAATTTTGTCAAATTGTATTAGAAGCAAAAACAAAACAATATTATTCAACTTTGATGATGTATGTAAACACTTATCATCATGAATTTTGAATAACAAGGTTGACATTATCCTGATGATGATCACCATGTACTTGACAATCAGTTAATTCAGTTCACTTTAAGTAATACAATGTTGTCACGCCCAATCAATTGTCTAGTTGATTAGTTGACATGATTCACAATGGTAATAAAAATATGACGATAACAATGAACCTGAATCACCATGAATATGAGAATGGGAAAAATATATTAAGAAGTTTGAATAACTTAATAGCGAAATTTTTTCCATCAAATATACTAAACAATTAACAGTAACATTCACGAATAATACAAATACAATCAACTGATTGTATTAATCATTATTTAGCAAGAAATAAAATCAATAATAATCATAAAAGGTGATGTAACGATTTTTTGATTTGATAAAAGGAAGGAAAAAAAATTTGATTGAGAAACTTTAATCAAGTTGTTGATGAACAATTAAAGTGATGGGAAAATTAACAAATGACACTGACGATGATGAAGATGATAAGTTAATTGTGGTTAAATTGTTGGATACAAATCGTAACCTCGCAAAACCAATTTGATCATCATCTTCAATCACTAATTGTTCATCATCAAGTTGACAAGTTTAGTATCAAATTTGGTTAAACTAATCAATCTTGTTAAATTGTTGATCTAATTAACTTTTTTTTCCCTTCTAATCTCATCTCAAATTTCTGCTCATCAACAATTAACTTACCAATGAGTTGATTGTCACTTTAATCAAACTGCATCTCAAAATTGTTGATTACATTTTAAACAATTCATTTAATCATTTTCACTCGCAATTAAGACCGGTACAAATTAACTAGAAAAAAACATCTTAAAGT